CGGCGGCAATTCGGCGGAAGGTCCTTTGCTCCGAGCGGGAGTGAGGGACCCTCCGCCGAATTGCCGCCGAATCGCTGGACCTGCCACCCCTCTCCGGAGTGGCCGCTCCAAGCACCTGCTTGTATCAGAGTGGTCGCCATGTTAGTCTGGATCTGTAAAAAGCAACAGAGAGTCCTGTGGCACCTTTAAGACTAACAGATGTCTTAAAGGTGCCACAGGACTCTCTCTTGCTTTATACCAGTATAGTTAAAGCAATACATACACACATACACACCATGGATGCCAGATACACCAACATAAAGGTGCTTGTACCAGTCTAGTGTAGTCCTCTAGGGGAAGGAAAATAAACTATATTGGCATAAGGCACCTTTACGCTGCATCCAGACTACGAGTATATTTTCTCCAATTTGTCCACAACTTTCTTAAAGTAGGGTGCCCAAAATTGGACACAATATTCCAGCTGAGGCCTCACCAGTGCCAAATAGAGCAGAACCTTTATCTCAGTATCTTACATGGGACACTCCTGTTAATACACTCTAGAATGATATTAGCCTTTTCCGCATCTGCATGACATTGTTGACTCACATTCAATTTGAGTTCCAGTATAACTCCCGGAGCCTTTTCTGCAATACTACTGCCTAGCTAGTTATTCCTCATTTTGTAGTTGTGCATTGGATTTTTTTTTTCTTTCCCAAGTATGGTACTTTGCAATTGTCTCTATTGAATTTCATCTTGTTGATTTTTGTCCAATTTTCCAATTTATCAAGATAATTTTGAATTCTGTTCCTATCCTCAAAGTGCCTGCACCCTTCCCAGCATGGCAAATTTTGTGTGCACACTCCACTTCATTATCCAAGTCACTGATGAAATTATTGAAATGTACGATTCCCTTTGTAGCCGATCCACAGAGGATATGAGTCTGTTACAGTTCTCGGCCTGGTTGCTTGGCTTTTTTAGCTCATGCTGTAGAGACTCATGCTTTCAGCTGTAGTAGTTGACAGGTCAGTCTCTGGTGTGACAGCTTAAATGGCAGCCATCACACTTACCTACTATGTTTTCAAGGCAGACTATACGTTTACCTACATACCTTGTACTTGGTCAGCAGTATGTCAGAATGCCCACTACTACAGGACCCTGTTGTGCTGTGATATTTAAGAACAACACCAAAGAGTTAACATTACTGTGACAGAGACTTCATTATGTCGATCTAACATAACTGCAAAGTGCCTAGGTCCTCTGGCGAGAGGGCTAAAGAGACCTAATCATACTTTATATGAAGGGTACATTTATAAATAGTTTTTAAAGGGTTAATTAATTATTAATAAATGTTTTAATGATTAATCAAGTGTTATGGATTGTTAGAGTCAAACAGGTTGTTTATAGCAATCATTAACACCTTCTACGGATGTCCTGATAACCAGGGCTTGGGAACAGCTGATACAGACCTATGCACTGTACCGGCACATCTCTGAAACTATTATCTTGTTCGCCTGAAGCTCAGCTTTTTTACCACTCTCCCCTACCCCCAGCTGTTCTGGTTGTGAAGAAAACCTCTCAAATGGGAATGGAATGTAGCCGTGCAAAGATGTCTAGGTGAGTCTGGAACAGCTCCGACAGGTGTGAATTGCCCCATTCATCTCCCTGAGATGAACCCAGACACCCAATGATGATTGTTAGAACATCAACACAGTTAGCTGTTTCATTCCTCATGTAAAAGAGGAGAGGCCGGGTCACAGATCTGCACAATTCCTTGTGGGCAACAACTCATTTTGGTGCAACAAATGGGCAAGAGGTGCCACCGCTTATTTTTTTCCTTCTAATCAAGAAGGATCCGGCCCAAGGAGGAGAGCAGATTCTGTGGGCATAGTCAAGACCATCCAGGGAAGCCTGATTTAAAGAGCCCAGTGGACCTCAATTAACTGAGAGATATCTGATTTTGATGACTCAAGGGAGAAGCGCTTATTGTGGGGGAGGAGGCTGGAAGAGTACCAAGACTTTTTCTCCCCAATCCGACCCCAGTCTATAACACATACTACTTATATCGGTAAACTTGTAACATCTATTAGCCACTTATTAACCCATTGTATGCTATTGATAAATGTACCCTTCATAGAAAGTGACCAAAACCCCTTGGAGAGCTACAGAGCTTAGTCCTGCTGCCAAAGAACTCAGTGGCAAAACTCTCATTGACCTCAATGGAAGGAGGATCATGTCCATTGTCTATCTTTAATTGGCTTAGGCCAGACCCATTTTCAAGAAGCTGGATGGGGATGTTGGTAAATGCTTCTATGACATTCACGTAAGTAGTCTGACTGTATCTCCTTGAAAGTGACAATGCACGGATGTGTGTTTTTTGAACGCCCGTTTGTTTTTCCATGACATTCATCCTCAAAGTTTTAAATATTACTCCTGAAAAATGGAGTTCACTAACAGCAAAACAAATAAATTTGTTCAGTTCTGGTATACGCTCTGTAAAATGGATCTGTTCCAGCTGAAATCAGTTGAAGAGGAGGAATGAGAACAAGGGGGTACCTTATGCTGAAGCCAGCTGAAGCATCAAACACATTTCGTAAGCAAGGAGTACAGCCAACTCTATCACTACAGTTTCATAAAGCTGACCTCAGTCAGTTCATATTGAGCTGTGGCTGTGTGATTTGCTCTCTTAGCTGCTATAGAGACTTTCTGGAAGCTTCTTATTAGCTTTTGAAAAGAGACATGGCACAAACTGGACTTCTAATTTTTCTCCTCATTAGCATACTACTGCTGGATCAAGCTACTGGCCAGGCTTCCAAGTTCAAAGCCAGAAAGCACAGTAAACGTAGAGTGAAAGGTAATCAGTTTAATTTGGGGGTGGGGGGGGGCATATACCATGGGCATTTACAATACTCATAAATATTATTTGAACCGGTGGTTAATATTATTTTTAAAATGTATTATCAAAGGGTATTTGTGCCTATATTTACTCTGTCTAGAGAGAAGATTCTGTTTACGTTATTTGGGTTACAAGTATGAGTAAAGTGAAGTGTAATGTGCTAAACTGTATTACATAAATATAGGGTAGAGAGCCAAATACTGTCCTCTCAGCTCCATTGACTTTATTTGGGATTCTGAGTTGTAAATGAGATCGCAGTTTGGCCCGTGATCTTCAGTTCTGTATTATATAATGGATATCACCAAGAATGGAATATCATGTGCATCTGGTCAAAACAAGCTCAATAAACTAACAGACTCCCAAGGATTTTTGTTGAGATTTATTTTCCATGACCTAGAAAGTTTTTGTAACTTTTTAATTGGATATTTGTAGGATATTCTTCAATTCTAGTTCTTTAGGGAGTGTTGTACAATGATGGACAAACGAAGCCAGAAAGAATTGGTGAGAAAAGTATAGTTTCCCACTAAACATATGCAGAGCAAAGACAAAAACCTTGAATGTTGGGAAATGTGTGTATTTAATTTAAACTTACTTCCCATTTTTTAGAAAGCATAATGTAGATTACACAGCTGGTGAATATTTACTTGTTAGTCAGTGAAAAGTAAGCAGCTTACACAAGTCCATTTCTTACTATGCTCACACTACTCTGAAAGCCGGGAGGCTGTATGGCATTTGTTTCCCCTTCTCATGAATCTATCTGTCTAGTTTTGAGGGTTTTACACCATGCTCATTACAATGGTATCTGGGAGCCCTGATTCCTATTTTAACCCATGTGCATTTTTGTGCAGTAGCAAAGTAAATCTGAACATCGGGCCTCTTTTATTTAGGTGACTAACTTTAGACACCCAAAATTGAAAATGTCTGCCATAGCATCTTTTGGGATTGTTTGGGGTTCTTTTACCAAGACAAGTATATAAGGCAGGTTGTAGCCCAATCACTAAATATAGTTTTCAAAGCGAAAATTCCATGAAAACAAACTCTCAACATCTCCAACCTATCTAATAGTTAAATTAGGCCATGTCTACACTACAAAATTTTGTCGATCTAACTTGCATATGCATACAGCCACCATAGTTATTAAATCGCTTGTGTGCGTGCACACTTGGCTCCTTGTGTCAGCGGGGCGTGTCCTCACCAGGAGTTCTTGTACCAATTGAATTGTCAGTGTAGGGAATTGTGGGATGGTTTTTGAAAGTCAGTAAAAGTTGACGGAAGTAACACAGCGACTACATTGACACTGCATTGACCTAATTTCATCGACCTTGACTCTACCCCATTTGGGGAAGTGGTGTTACTAACTTGGTGTAGAGAGGCGCTTATGTTGGGGGGAGCCAAATTTAAGTGAAGACACTTCCACAGCAAGGTTGATGCAATGCAGCTTACATTGACCTAACCATTTAGCGTAGACCAGGGCTCAAATGTACAGCCAAAACCAAATCTCGTCAGCAGCCCTAGTACAATAATGACTGATCTCTAAGCAATAGTCTGAATTTATAATTCAGTAACACATTAAAAAGTTGGAATAAGTGAACTACCATGAGAGTGCATTGGAATTTCATGTGTATTTACCTAAAGAGAGCCCAAAATGCAATACAGTAGAAACCAATGAGCAAAACAGCAAGCTGTCATATTAATATTATTCTGTACTTAATCTTGGGAAATTAATTTTACTAAACCTGTGTATTTTAAAATACACCTCTACCCCGATATAATGCGACCCGATATAACACGAATTCGGATATAGCGCGGTAAAGCAGCTCTCCGGGGGGGCAGGACTGCACACTCCGGCGGATCAAAGCAAGTTTGATATAAAGCAGTTTCACCTATAACGGGGTAAGATTTTTTGGCTCCCGAGGACAGCGTTATATCGGGGTAGAAGTGTAGTTAAATATGCAATTTATTTGTTTATGAATATTTGTTGCTTTATTCTCATCCTGCATAAATTTTGTGTTGGTATAATCTCGCTGATTTCAATGGAAGAAGGTGCACTAGTGTCACAGAGAACTGAGTCTGACCCAGGTGAACATTTCGTTTGGCTTATAATGATTACTAGAATTGCATTGCTTTGATGTTGTGATTTTATGGCATTTAAATGATTGCTACTTAATTTTATTGCATTACAGCATTTTGATTGTCTCTGAACGTTGTAATTACTATGATTTTTCTCCCAACTAAAGAGTTATGCAAATCTCATACATGCAGAAGCCCATGATATTTTAACAGGGCTTCTGACTTAAAGATCATCTTGAATGTGTATATTTATTCATTCTTTCTTTCTTTTAAGAAAAGGACGGTGATCTAAAGACTCAGATTGACAAGCTGTGGCAAGAAGTAAACTCCCTGAAAGAAATGCAGGCACTTCAGACAGGTAAAACATGTTTTATTAGTCTGTTTTTACTAGGAAATAGAATCATAGACTATCAGGGTTGGAAGGGACCTCAGGAGGTCATCGAGTCCAACCCCCTGCTCAAAGCAGGACCAATCCCCAACTAAATCAACTAAATGTCACTAAACATTTTATCAGTGAAACCAAACATCTCCTGCCCCACTATAATGTTCAATGAGGAATCATACTTCTTTGACAAGTGGGATTCCTTAGCAACGTGTCACTGAGATGTTGCCAACATCTTCCACTTGATGAAGCCAGCAATGATCTGGACTTTGGAAGAGCCATGCTGGCATACCTCGTGGTCTATTATCATATAGGGAAGCATAGCCAAAAATAAATAAGATTTAATAAATGAGACTGTTGTGCAAATCAGGCATTGAATGTAATCTCTCTCTTTGAAAAGGCAGTTCTAGTTTTAAATCACCTTGGGTCACTTGAAATTAGCATTTGAAGGGAGGAGGATGGTGGAAAAAGTGACCGGAAATGAAGCCCTAAAGAGTTTTATGTCCTCTGTATATTAACCTGCCAGTGGCAATATTTATCTATCAATTGCCCAAACAGAGATTTGAATTATGAATTTCCAATCAATATCTGATGACCAGGACATACTGTAACTAGCCCTTTAGCACTTTCTGTCTTCCATTTATTTACTAGGGACTAGACTTAGCTAATGCATAACACGCTTTACTTTGGCACTTAAATGTCACAAGTATGAAAAGACCTTTAGATCCTTGTCTTTGGCGTGAAGCCAAGAATCCACCTACTTCCTGGCAACTAAACCAGCTCTGCCAACAATACAAACATCCATTTCTCCTCAGCATACATTATGAACCCGATGAGGAGAAGCCAAATGTGTAAAGTTGGCAGTAGGGACTATTTACAAAAAAAAAAGAAGTTAAACAAACAACAGGCCTACATCATCTTTGTGTGTATGTGTGGTCTCAAACAACAGCATAAATAATCCTGAGGAAATTACTGTACGTTCCTGGCTGGATCCAAGCTGACAATGGTGACCCAAGTAGATTAATATAAAAAGCGTAGAGGTGGGATTTTCAATAGCCCCTTCTGAAATTAAGATCACAAGTCACGTTGACTTTCAGTGGGACTTGTAGGCTCTTAGGGGCTTTTGAAAATCTCCCACTAAAATGTCAACTCTGTTCTGGAACAGCCCTGGCCATTTTGCCAGCCAGGGTGGAAAATGTTCTTGGTGCTCTCCCCACCCCTACAAACCTGCACACGAGCAGCCAAATGCACAAAATAAAAAACCAAAAGCTGAGTGGCGCTGCCCTGCTCGCCTGCTCCTAGAACTGGTCCAGACCCTATTCTAATATGTGACTTCATTTCTTAATCAACATGCTCAACCATATCTATTCACAGTCTGTCTTCGTGGAACAAAGATCCATAAGAAGTGCTACCTGGCATCTGAAGGTGCCAAGCATTTCCATGAAGCCAATGAAGACTGCATAGCCAAGGGAGGGACACTGGCTATCCCCAGAGATAATGATGAAACCAACTCCCTTCGAGACTATGGCAAGAAAAGTCTGCCAGGGGTTGCAGACTTTTGGCTGGGTATCACCGACATGGTAAACGAAGGGAAATTTGTTGATGTCAATGGGATGGCTCTAAACTATTTCAACTGGGATCGCTCCCAACCAAATGGGGGAAAGCGTGAAAACTGTGTCCTGTTTTCCCAGTCATCTCAAGGCAAGTGGGGGGATGAAGTCTGCCGTACTGTCAAAAGATATATTTGTGAATTTCTAATCCCATAATTCCATTCCCATTAGCTGCACCAATATTTGGTTATTAATATGCAGGTTTTGCATGTTAGTAGTTCCTCCTACTTACAACGGTGAATTGAAAATACTTATTGAAATGCACATCTCCCACAATACACAAACCTTGCCCTAAGGCAGGAATTTTCTTTATTAATTTATTTTCCATTCAACTGCTAAAAAGGTTGTGTTTAGTGAGGTCTCTCACCATGCAACTGTCGCATATGCTGTACGTTTTGTTTTCAGATGTATTGCATCATATTTTGCCATATACTCACAGTCCGATGTTCATGTTATCAACATCGTAAAGTCAAAATCCATCTTTCAGACCCACACTACATATCTCTATAGATTAGTGATTGCTTGAACTCCATGCAGAACTCCGGTCAATATTTATGAAAGTTCCACACATAGAACATTCACTAGAGAGTGAAATTTGCCAGCATGAGGCTATGGAAGCTTATTAAGTAGAACTTTAGTGGTGTATAAACCTCTGTAAATGGATGGAATTCATCTGCTGGAGCTCAACAATGTAGCTCTGAGATAAGATTTTGATCTAAAGGAAGAAAAAAAATGAATAGAAGCTGATGTTATTCTGAAAGATTATGGAGTTAAAAATGACACATTCCTAGAAAGTAGGGGAAATATTCCCACTAGCGATTGAGACAGCAGCCCAGCTAGAAATGTTTGCTTCAACTCAGATTGATTTTATTATTTTTAAATGTAAAGCATGTCATTCAGAATGTTCTTCTGCCCATTTTGAAGTGCAACATCAGGGCTAGGTCATGCTTGCAGCTTGCCATCCATAATAAGGGGCAGTGCACAAGCACACCACCCAGCAGGAGCAGTATGCTCAAAGACATATTGCCTTGTGGCGCTCCCTGGTTGTAATGGCGGGGGAGGTAATTTGTGACACCCCTTTGCAGGGTGCAACATGCTACCGTAGTAGCAAACCCGCTCCGTTGCCTGGCATATAGGGATGGGCAGAGCCATGGCTTCACTTGCTCCTTCCCACTCCCCTCTCAATTGCTCCTCAGGGGAACTATCTAGGGTACAGCCTCTGCACTCCACCTGAGGTCGAGCATGGCAATTAACACAGCCCCAGTGTGGAACAAATAGAGAGGGACTCTTTGCCCCTACCTACATCTCCATGAGCCTCATTATCCAGGAGACAATCTAGCCTCACGAAATGCCAGCTGTGGAAATCTTTTGTATGTATTGGTCATTTGGAAAATATTGTCCTTGTGTTTCTGCACTGACTTGTTTACATGCAAATTCCAGTTAAGCACCTGATGTTTGGAAGTGGAGGAATTACACTGTTTATTTTTTGCTATTCTTAATCTTTCAAAAGAATTGGAAATAAATCCTATACGTTTAGAGAAATGGAACCGATAGAAAAAAAGAAGCCAGCCATATACTTTGCTTTGCATCACCCAAGTATGCTTTATCTTAGTGATATGTACAATGCAGTTTGCAAATAACCTCTTGCATCCTAGAACCTGAATTCTGTTACTTGGAGGTCAACTCTTAGTTTTCCTTTTAATTATACAATAAATTTTAATTGCTAATAAATCAAACATATAATTCACTAGTAGTTTGTTGTTGTTGTTTTTTGAGACATGAAGACATGTACAATCAGCATTTCAAAGATAAAGTGTACAAGGTTACATGTATTGTGGTTCTGTAAATATTGTGTATACATCCTGTATGAGAGAGAATTCCATCAACACTGAGGCTGAGAGAAATCTGAATGAAGCTGCTATTCCATAATATCGAGTACTTAAGGCGGACTTTGCTCAAGATGCATTGAGAAGACAGGGTTCAGACACAGATTAGGTTTAGGATAGGGCTTGGATTCATGTTCAAAGCCAAATCTGGGCTAGGATCAGAGTCTGTCACCAAAATCTTGCAAGACTGTGGGCCAAAATAATAGAAATCATAAGAGCTCAGCTGTTCTTGTGACATTTCTGCCACTTGGGCTGAGTTTGATGCTGTTGAAGTCACATGAGAGATACAGAAAATAGACCCTTTCTGATTTCAGCTCCAACTAAGAACCAAAGCTATTGCAGCAGGTCTGGTGTCAGCAGTGGTACAAATGGAATCTATTTCTTACCGGTATGGGGGTGGTGGGAGAAAAACGGGGGGCATGTGACGTCCTCACATGACACTCCATGTGACTGCTCCCCACCCCCCAGCCCAGGGCCCCCATGCTCTTCCCGTCCGCTTCCCATGATCCACACCCCTTACCTGGGGAGGCGGGGGCTCTGTCCTCCTCCCGCTGCACCTTCGGAACCACAGCAGGGAAAGGAGCAGAACGTGGGGCCGCAGCTCCTCTGACGACTGTACCGCCCCATCCCCGCCCTCCCCAGCCCTGTCCTCCGGCAGGGCTGCTGCTGTACAGATGGAGGAGACCCTGCGTGGAAGGACTGGGAGCGGTACAGCTGTGCCGGAGGAGCTGTGCCGGAGGAGCTGCTGGCATGGGGCCATTCAGCTCATTCAGTCGTGTTCTGCTGCTCTTCTTTCCGGTACGCCATGCCACCTATAAATACCTTGCTGGTACGGTGTACTGGACCGTACCACCCTACTTGCACTGCTGGGTGTCGGTGACTCAGAATGAAGGTTCCACTTCCAGGTGGGCCCATTTGTAAGTGGAATGTGATACCTTTGAGTAAATGGTTTGCTCACCCACAGATTTCTCTAGCCAGCTAGGGCCAAGGTCACATAATTTCTCAAAAACTAATCACCATTAGGGCTGGTTGGCACCTGGCTGGGAGACCACCAAAGATGGTGCAAGATGCTGCAGCAGGAAATGGTGTAGTCATTTTCGATAGGGGTCACTCTTCTCACTGATCCAGCATTCCAGTACGGCAGTAAAGGAACTGACATGTTTGTGGGATCATCTTCCAGGTGAGATGTTACACCAAAATCCTGACCCCATCTAGTCTTTTGCTGTCCATAGCCCTTATCACAAGAGTAGTGAGAGTAAGTGAGTTCTGTAGGCAGATTTCACTGTAGGTAGTTAGATTCTGGCTAACTAAATTCTCCTGAACTTTCAATCAGATAAGCTTTTCTCCTCATCTTTAGCTGTTGTGTTGCTATGTACTGGCAAACAGCTCCCCCTTCCATTCCAGAGATGGCCACACATGAATAGTGGGCAATGGTACCTGTACATATAGAACCATTTTATACATGAATTGTTATTATTACTGCACCTTCATTGGTGAAATAATTATTTCTCTAGATGAGGAACCTGCAATAGAGGCTTAACTGTCCACCCTGCTAGCCATCCTCTGAATTAAATTATGGGAGCAAAGCAGGCTATCAGGATCTATCCATCTCTATTAAGCTCAGCAGATGCTATGGTCCCCATTTGGTTTTGTTTTTAAACTGTGATTTAAATAAATGGAGAGCCCTACAGTAGTTTGATATGGCCTCTTATATGCCAGTTCATTGGGTTAGTTAATTATATATATATATCTGAAACTACATTATGTTCAACATGTAATTTCACCACAGTTTTGGAAACCTATTCACATGTGCAGTAGCACAAACCCAAATCCAAGGGGGTTACTCTTTATTTCTACTCAATTTTCATCCATTTACTTTAAGTAATAGCAATATAAACTGGTTATGGACACTACTGGGGGACATTTTTCCATATACAGCAGATGTCATACACTTTGTTAAACAAACAGACATCTGTGCCAATTAATTAGTTCACAAAGTTACAGCCAGTATGGGGGACTCAGACTTAGGTCTTAACACTCCCAGCCAGATGCTTTGTCTAATAACTGGGATATCTGAAGTAGACCAGAAGGATGGGGTGAAAAAGGCAGGGCAAAGAGAATGGTATGGCTGGCAGGAAGTTAAGAGTGGGCAGGGGAGAGAGAGGAATTGGGATAGATGAAGAGGAGGAAACAGAGTGATGGTAAGAGTCAATTGCTGGTAATTGGGCCAAAGCAAAAAATGTTCCTCTCCTCCCATTCACTCACATCCATGAAATAGGTCACTTGATGAGCTGCACGGAGCTTTGCAGTTGTGGATCTAGACAGTAGTGACTAGCAAGTCCTAGAAGGACCTTGTTAAATAGCACAGACAATCTTCTTCCATTGCCCCCACACTCACTCCTCCACCCAGCCTACCCCATCCTGTAGATACTATGTAGCAATTGCACAGAAGTGAGTATTGCTCTCTCTCCACAGAAAACAGAGTCAGTTTCACCTCCTTGCTCCTCTCCCTCCAAGAGGGCTTGCATGGCCTCCCTAACGCAGGGACCAGCTGGCACCAGTAAAGGATCTGAGTGCACCAGCAAGGCACAAACTGCCACATTCCCCTGCTTTTCCTCTAACTGTGATCATATCGCTGCATGAAGCCAGGGTGACTTAGCATTAGGGGATGGGTGTTTGATGCCTGATAAGGAAACAAGCCTGTCCCAGATGGCTTGAATGACTTCATCAGAGTCTCACAGGGGAATGTATTTCCTAACCAAGTAGCCTTTCTGTGCTGTTGCTCCACTTTTATCCCAGAATGGTGAGTGAAATGGAGAATGCTCCCAAAGCAACGCACTGCTCTTGGGTTCAAGGTAAGAGGGACAATCTGGTAAGCAGCATGAACAGCACTGAGCCACAAGTTATCATGGCAAAGTGGAAATCACACTTCTCTGTAAATAATCACAGTTTGGGAACACTGACATAAATCCTACTCACTCTGAAAGAGAGAGAGAGTAAAGCTTTGTTGAAGAATTCTTGTCCCAAGTGCTCAGACACTACTGGGATGGAACCCACGTAAGCATTTTGGCAAAAAGACTAGAGATCAGACAGGCAGAAGGAAATTAACCATTTACAAAATATTTTTTGCCAACTTTTCTACATCTGTGGTTGTAAGTGCAATTAATTGTAAGGCATTAATTAGCTCTTTTTCTTTCACTTGGATTATTAGTGAAATAAATTAACACAAAAAATAAAAATAAAAAACCAAGGAAAATATTGGTTCCTGGTTAAAGAGAATCAAAATGATACAAATAAATTATTAGATTGAACACACTATAAAGTTATTTTCAAGTCAAGTAGCGATCATACAACCCCTGTTCTCTATGTTCAAAACAATGAGTACAGCCTTTTGAGACTTTAGCTGCTGTTTTATCATGCGCATCATCACTTCAAAGTTGTTTTCATTTCAAAATGTTTGAAATGGAACAATGAATAGTTGTTTGTTTCAAAATATTTGAGTTTTTTTTTTTAAATTTCCCCCATTTTTTTTGCAAATGTTAATGAACTAGTTCTATACATTTTGTGTTTACTAAAAAATTGGTCTTTGGTAAATGAGAAATATTGATAATTGTTTTGATAAAAATTGAAGAAAAAAAAAAGGCCT